TGGTGTTCAGCGCCTTCATCACGCTCTGCTTCGGGGCGATCTTCTTCCTGCCCGACTCCTCCAAGCTGCTCAGCGGGGTCCTGTTCCACTCCAGCCCCGCCCTGCAGCCGGCCGCCGACCACAAGTCCGGGCCTGGGGCGCGCGCGGAGGACGCGGCAGATGGGCGAGCCAGGCGCGGCGAGGAGGGCGCGCCCGGGGACCCGGCGGCCGCCCTGGAGGACAACTTGGCCAGGATCCGCGAAAACCACGAGCGGGCTCTCAGGGAAGCCAAGGAGACCCTGCAGAAGCTGCCCGAGGAGATCCAAAGAGACATCCTCCTGGAGAAGGAGAAGGTGGCCCAGGACCAGCTGCGTGACAAGGCGGTGTTCAGGAGGCTGCCCCCGGTGGACTTCGTGCCCCCGATCGGGGCGGTTGGCCGGGAGCCGGCCGACGCAGCCATCCGCGAGAAGAGGGCAAAGATCAAAGAGGTGAGTGCACCGTACTGGGAACCCCTCCTGCCTGGCAGCGTTTTTCTGGGAGAAAAGACAAACCTTTGAAACTCTTAAGACTGTAACATTAACGTGTAAGGGGACATAGAGGTTTTTCGCTTCCACCAGGTGCAATGTCAAAGGCTCTTTCGTTTTCCTTTTTTCGCTATCGTAGTACATGTAGCCAGTTACGATATGAGGTTGAATCCCGTTGCTTTTAACTTGCATGCTCTGGTAAGCATAAGCCACGAGAGGTACGTATTACATACATGGGCAGGTGGTGTGCAAACGTCGTCTTTCACTGGCCACTACACGGTTAATCGTCCCTGCGAACTGACAGCGAAGGTCCCAAACAGCCCCAAAATAAGGCTCGGACATGGCTTGAAATAAATGCAAAGCATCAATCGCGCAGGATAACGAGTTCTAACAGCAAGCCAGCACACCCTGGTGTGGCCTTATTCTGCCAGGTGGCATCCTGTGTATACTTACAGACTATAAAGGTGAAACGTGAGAACTCCCTATAACAGGGGACATGCTGTTGTTTACACTTTAAAAAAGGAAACATTTAAAGAGCCAGCCTATTGTCTCTTCTTGCATTTTTAATGTAGCCAGAAAAAGAGTATTTTATGTGATGCAACAGGTTTGCCTCCACAGTAGCACAGAGATGACAAAGTTAATCCAGGACAAACATGGACTTTGATAAGTCTTTCATAATTTCTTTCTCGTACTTGTAACGTATGGTTGCTTCACTGGCTTAAAGCTGAAGGGGACCTTAAAAGTCATTTAGGGCTGTCAATTTAAAGATGAAAGTTGAGAAGCCCAAAAGCCCCAGAACCAGTTAGTGACCAAGTCAGGACTTGAAGCCCCGTCACTGTCACCAGTCAGCAGGCTCTTTGTGGACATGCTTCCTTCCACAGCTACTCCCCTGTGTAAAACTGCCCGCCTGGATTCTTACACAATCCAAGAGCTGTAGGAACCATATTAAAAGCATTTCATCCCAAATCATTCTAAAATGCATTATGAGGGGAAGTAATATTGTTATCATTTAAAAAATTTCAGTCTCTGAAAATAAATTTTGTGTTTTGATATTGTGTGGGTAATCAGGAAAGGAAGCATCCTCATTCCCCCACTTTCAGAGAATAAACAGAATGTTCGAGTTGGTGAAGAGGTATTTAGCGTGAGTGACTACAGAACAGAGGCAGCTGGATTGTCACAGGATTTATGACCTTAACTATAAGACCAGGTGAATTTGGTTAAGCTGTAATTGAGCAAGTTAAAGTGGATTTGAATCCCTTTCAGTTTACCCTAGGCACGAGGAGGGTGCCTTCTTCCTTTTGTGCAGGTAGCTTCCTTCAACAGCCCATCAGCGTTTCTACTTTGGGACTCTTCCTTAGGCATAGAACCCCAGACTTGAGGGAAAAGATTTTATGCACCTGGACAACTTCTGTCGTGCAGATTCCCTTCTCTGGGAAGCCCTTCAATCCTGCCAGGGCTACCAAAGCAGGAAAATGGGGGGAAAAGCTCTACTTCTCACCAGTCTCCCTCTCCTCTTCATCTCCCATCCTCCTTAAAAATCTCCAAATGAAACCTGTATGTAAATTAACCCCAAATCTGTATGTTTACGTTTCCCTTAGGTTTAAAACAGTGTAATTCACATGTTTCACGCCTTAAAATTCCTATGAGCTGCCACTTAGTGCAGATCACAGTTGTCCAAAGAAATTATTTCAAATACTAAAGATGCATGGAAGTTAAAAAGCGATTGGTACCGACCAAAGCGATTAAAAGTGTATTTAGAGCAGAAGCAGTGGGAATTCGGGACAGTATGCGTATCTGCCCGTATTAGATACATGTTCTCTGTCTCTCTAAATCAAAAGGTCTTAATTAGCCTTATAAGGAAAATTTATGTAGCCTTCTGTGTCTGTGTGGTGCTAACATCTTAGCAGTTAGATGTTTTGAAACTGCCCAGTCTTGCATAAAGTGGTGGAACTAAATGTGTTCTTTAAAATTCCATGTTGCTGTGAAAACCCAAAAAAGCTGACATAATTAGCTTCAGTGTTTAGTCAAAAGCTAATGGGAAGAAATGGATTATGGTTTTTCATCAGATTAGTTCAGGCAGATGTGCTCCTTTGTAAACCACTCCCCCCCGCCCCCCCAAAAAAGTAACTCATGCCATTCTGAAACTGTGCTGAAAATGTTCAGGTTTAGAGGGGAAAGAGTGGTTATCCATTGTGAATAGAGTGAGTACCCTGCACTTTAACTTCACACTTTTAGAGTCTGTTTCTGGCACCACCGTGGACATTTGTCATGGACCAGTGGATCTTTGCCTTGGTTTTGATCTTTGTTGTTCCTGTATTTTCTAGTTTTCTTTATATACTTAGGTTCTCTATCACACCTGAATGTACTAACAGTTTTATAGCTAAAATTTAGAAGGTATAGGCAAGTCTAATATGTTGAGAGCGTAGACTATAATCTCTGAGCCAAACATTTATTTTGTAAATTTGGTTTAAAGGCAGCGAATACTGTTTTTATACTGCCAACACAATTGTTACTGGCACTTTGGTAAATTTTTAACAAATTTGTGCCATGAGCAGACAGCCATAATTTCAAATAGGATATTGCCTAGCACCCTTTACAAAAAGGCATCATATGCTGTTCAATACTAATTTGAGGGATGGTAAATCTTTGACGTAAAACTTAAAATTGAAACCAAGATACCCCCCCCCCAAAACAAGTTTGTAAACCAACTCTGGAATTTCCCTGAATTTTATAATACATAATACATATTTTCATGAGTTTGATCTTTTTAAAAGTGTACTCAGGTTGTGCTTAATGTAAAAAGCAGTGTTAAAATAATGAAGTACAGAAGTTAAAATAGCACCATGGAATTTTTAGAAGAATAGTCTCTCTTCTACCTTGACCCCCCCTTTTTTTTTTAATCGGGAAGCTCTTTTCCTGTTTTGTTTTGTTTTGTTGAGTCTATACAAAGAAGTTGCACTGTCCTTTAGGATTAGAGCCATATTCCTAATTTAGAGGATGAATAATTTCATTTTTCATCTATTGGAATTATGGAGAGTCCTTGAGTAATAGGGGCTGAAGACAGTTAAGTTGTCAGAGGGATTCCTCCTTTCTCAGACTGGAATCTCCACTAACCTAAATGGGGTAGGGATGAAGGGGCTGACAGTCAACTTTGGGTCTATCAGGTAAGGCTTTAGGACTGGTTAGCCATGGGTCACAGTTGTCTCTAGGCTTCTCAAAGCAGTCTTTAGTTTTTTATTCCAGACCTGTTTATATGATCGTAAGTTTAAAGAAAATGTTCATATTGATAGCTAATGGTTAAATACATATTTTTATGCCTTAGTCTAGTCTTACGTTGTTCTTGAGTCTATAAGTCAGCTATTGACAATCAACCCCTTTTTATTAAAGATCAGATGTAGGAATAATCTACCTTGAGAGACTAATACTTTTATTTTGAAACTCAGCTTTACAGTTTATTTGTATGGGTAGTTCTGATGTGGAAAATAATATTTCCATAATACTAAAAGTCACAATTTGAAGACCTGACTCCAGAGGAACTGAAATACTCTCAGGTTACCTCACCTATCCTGCTCATCCTGGTCTGAAATGCACTTGATATTAACAATGGGCAAATGCCAGATTCCCCCACTCTTAGGCCTTTCCCCAGAGCAGGTAGGTCATAGAATGTTAATAAAATCTTTTTTTTCTCTTTAAATAATGAATAGATGAATAAATTCAAATTTCAATGGTCTAAGTACTAGAGTAGATGCTGACTGTTGAATATTAATACATGAAAGCAAGAAAAGACAGTGAATGGATAATCAATTACGTTCAGCTTAATTTTCTGGAAGCTGTTGATAATTTGAGAGGAGTATTCTGTCTTCCTCTTTAAACTAGGCCTGGGAACCTAGTTAAGGGTATTAAAAGTGGTTAAAAAGTGCATTTTCAAGTCAATGCTTCTGTATGTCTTCGGTGAGCTGGTAAAATAAACCATCCTAAGAAATATATCTTAGTATTTCACATATGCCTTTGTATGACATCTGAATTTTTGGATTTCAGTGGAGAGCTTACATATTTGTATTGAATTATTCCATAAACTATGGTAGTACAAATTCTTCCTTAAGGAGAGTTTAAAGCATGTGTCTCAATGTCAGAGAAGAGGAATACCCACAGACCAGTATGAGTGATGAGGGATAAATATACATGGGTAGATCAGCACTACATTGGAACCTGATTATACCCTCTGGCCCAATAGAGAACCTGTGGCCTTTTAAGTTCTTTATGGTTCTAC